CCATCGGACGACGAGTTCTACGAAAGTCAGGACGATAGCGACAGCTGCCAGCTCTTCCATGACGTCGACGACGTGGCGGTAGAGCGGGAGCAGAATGCAGGTCATCCCGCCAAGGAGCAAGGCCGCATCCGCCAGCTCGTGGAGCTGCTGACGTTGCAGAGCCACAACGTGGGCGACGCTCGCTCTGCGCTCGTAGACAAGCTCCTGGGCGTCGTCAAGGTGAATGAGCTGCTGTTGACGCGCGCCACAGAGGAGCAGATCGCTAGCGCGGCCAATGACGCGATCACAGACGAGATTTTGGCGTCCGTGGACCAAGAGGAGCGACGCCGGAACGAGTTGGCAGTTAAAGAGCAGCAGATAGTGGCGGCTTCAACATCGACGCTCGAGCAGTTGAGTCCATTCCGCGTGTTGGAGCTTGTGGATGTACTGGACTCCACGACTGGTGGAATGGTCAAGAAAGTCCTGACTAAGGTGAGACGGAGAGCTCCACTTAATGCGAGGATGGAGCGACACAATGAAATGGATAGAGATGTCGAGTTTTGCAAGTTTTGCTCGGCGTATGGAGACCACACAGCTGCACAACATCGCTGTCGACTATGCGGAGTAGAAGGAGACCACCGGAGTCGGAGTTGCCCGAATCAAGGAGCGATTCCAGCCGATTCGAACACGAATTCGCCCGTGAAGACTGTAGCTACAGTTGAGGAACAAAAATTCTGCACATTATGTAACTCATGGGGAACGCACGCTACTGAGCGTCATCGATGTCGCACGTGCGGGGCTCATGGAGCTCACCGTAGCCAACGGTGTCCTGCAGCTTCATCGTCGTCTCTAGTGCCATGGATTGGACCAACGGAATTGCGCAAGGGGCGAAAGTACTGTTCATATTGTAATGCATGGCGTCCACATGCATCTGACGAGCATCGATGTCGATTATGTGGAGTAATTGGAGATCATGGGAGCAAGAAGTGCCCAAAACGGACGAATGGATCGTCCTCAAGTCCTAGATTTACACAACATGGCGACGATACATCGCCAGCCATGTCTCCCGATAAGACCAAGACGTTCTGTACATTTTGTCGGAGAGAAGCTGCACATACGACGAACGAACATCTTTGTCGAGTGTGTCGAGCCGTGGGGTTGCATCGGTCTGATGGCTGTCCACAGCGCAGTAGTAGCAGTACCGTGCTGTCGTACTCAGTGGATGCTGCGTCTAAAGTTCGAGATCGCGTGCTGGAGACAATTCCTCAAGTGCTCCCGCCTCCTGCAGTAACTCTCGTGTGGCGTAGTCTGGACAAAGTGGGCGATGCTGATCTCATATTACGCAAGACACTACAACGGATAGGCGTCTGGGGTGGAGGATCTCAGACGCCTATTACGACACCCTATGCACCCCCAAGTGCCAACTTCAGCGGCGTGGAGGCAGTTGATGAAGCTGCTAGAGATGATAGCGAGGCGGTTCAGCGGTATCCTCTGGAACTTAAGCGCGTGACTTCTGCGTCGTCTTCATGTAGCAATTCTTCGGCTCCATTGATGCTGAACGAAGGACAGTCCAGCGGTGTCTACGTATTGTCGTATGCTGAAGGGCACTCTGTGGTTCCCGCTCGTATCTTGAAGTACATGCGGTTGCTCATGCACCACGAAATATCGACGAATGCGTTCTCAGTGGTGGTTCGGTTTGATCCACGTCCATCGCATTGGGAGTTAATGAAGCCTGGAATGGTGTCGCCTCGCTCGTTGCCTTCGAGTCCAACGTTGAGTCGCCAACTACAGAAACGAATGGCTCATTACACTTTGCAGACTCTACTGGGTGCACGCGATAAACTTCGAGAACTCGACACTGCACGACGTAAACTGCAACATCGACTGCGACAGCATGAACAAATTCAGGCCCAACGAAGGAAACAATCCTGATGAATTGTAGATAGTGTGAATATCTTCAGCAGGTGTGAATATGGACACATTTCTCAATTACTGGTACGTCTCGTGTTCGAATTTGAGGTAGTTCAAGCGGAATCGACCAAGCTCCCTCCATGGTGTAGATCTTGTGGTAGAACCTTCTTGGAGTTGTTGTGCAAACGCCTTCTCTACTGCTTCGCGCTTACTATGTAGTGACATCTCACCAAGAATCGGAATGTCGTCTGAATCGAAAGAGGCTGGCGCAGTGGTCACTAGGACATCGCCACTGATGCAGAGACGGTTGCAATTACACTCAATACGCATCCGCACGTGGTGAGAAGGCCCGTCTTGTCGTACAGACCATTGAAATATCTGTAGATACACCACGAGACGTTCCGAGTTTTCCACGTCCAACTCCGCAATGTAATCCCCGTGAGCTCCCATGTCGATTCCAGACGTCATTCCGTTGGAAAACTGAGTAAACACACGGGCTTTACCATCCAGGACAACGCGCAAACAC